GGGCCTGCAGGGCTGGATCCACATTGCTGTAAGGCTCCTCTCTCTCCTCCCCTCTCCACATCCTCATTCTCTGCAAGGTTTTCTAAGTTTTCTTAAATATGCCTCAATGACCTCAGCTCCAACATGGAGATGCCACTGCCCCCTCACAAGTGTCCCTTGAGCCCTGAATGGGTTATAGCAGGACAGAGCTTGCTTGCAAAGGGGCAGGACATACAGCAGGTGCAAGGACAGTGTGTATGTTAATTGTTTCATGAATCACTGTGATCCTAGAAAAGTATTTGCTATTTTGAAACTCAAATGCAAAATGGGAAAGGGGATGGTCCCAGTATGAAAGGCACTTACTGATCAGAATAGAATAGAGGCCAACATTTTTGTTGCTAGTTTCTTTCTTTGTGTGTGTGTCCCTGTGTGTTTGTGTGTGTGTGCATGTTTGTGACACAGGGTCTCACTTTGTTGCTCAGGCTGCAGTGCAGTGGTGCAATTGTGGCTCACTGCAGCCTCAACTAACCAGGCTCAGGTGATCCTTCCACCTCAGCCACTCAGGAAGCTGGGACTACAGGTGTGTACCACCATGCCCCGCTAATTTTTTCTGTGGAGACAGGGTTTCACCATGTTACCCATGCTGGTCTCAAACTCCTGAGCTCAGGCGATCCATCTCCTTGACCTCCCAAAGTGCTGGAATTACAGGCGTGAATCACCACACCTGGCATTTTTGTTAATTTCATTACAACATAATTCAATATACTGAGGGGCAGCACAGAGTTCCTTGCTCTTACAAGAAGACAATGTAATGGGTAAAACCCTCAAAAATCTACATGAAATTCCCAGAATAGAAGTTAAAAAAAAGAGAGAGAATGAGCAAGAAGAAATGAAAACTGGATTTTGTTTTTACACGTCCTGTGAAGCTGCTATCTCAAGGGGCACTTGCTCAGAGAAAGGCCTTTTGGGACATAATGGGGACAGGAACCACTCTGCTTTGCTCATCGGTTACGCCAGAACCTCATGAGGGACACTAGTTGTTGATGGTTTTCATGAGAATATAGCACTGAGACCAAAACTTGATTGAAACTAAAACCCACACATGGAGAAAACCACTGGAGCTCTGCAGAGGATGCAAGCCTGGCCACGCATAAAGGAAGGGACGCTGGACTGCGTCAGTGGAGGGAAGACCCCTCAGAGGAAGTAGAGCCGCAGTCCCCAACCTTTTTGGCACCAGGATCTGGTTTCATGGAAGACAGTTTTTCAGGGACCAGGTTAGGGGGGATGGTTTTGGGATGTTTCAGGCACATTACATTTACTGTGCACTTTATTTCTATAAATATTACATTGTAATATATAATGAAACAATTATACAACTCACCATAATGTAGAATCAGTGGGAGCCCTAAGCTCATTTTCCTGCAACTAGGTGGTCTCATCTGGGGGTGACAGTCACTGGGAGACAGTGACAGATCATCAGGCATTAGATTCTCATAAGGAAAGCACCATCTAGATTCCTGGCATGTGCACTTCACAATAGGGTTCGAGCTCCTGTGAGAATCTGATGCCCCTGCTGATCTGACAGGAGGTGGAATCCAGGCTGAAAAGCTTTCCCTCCGCTCACCTCCTGCTCTGCGGCCAGTTCCTAACAGATCATGGACCCATAACGGCCCATGGCCCTATGGCTGGGGATCCCTGAAGAAGAGCATCTAGCTTGGGACACAGGAATCATGAAACAGGCCTCCAAATAATCAGGAAAAACTCCCAGCATATCTGGATGGCCAGAGAAGAGATAAGGACATGTAGTTAGCAACATAATTTCAGAAAAGACAGATGCCCTATCTTAAAGAAGGAGGTGTGTTATATAAATTTCTCCAACAGAGCTACTATGGCCAAGAGTTGCAATAAGCCCTCATCACACCCCTCTCTGGCCTGTTTTGACAGCCACAGCCTGCTCTTGTGAGAAGGAGCCAGGTGACAGAGGAGGCACTTGGAACAGGAGAAGAGGATGCTTTACCCAGTGGATGTCTGTCCTTAAAACTGGATCCAAGAGCCAAATTCAAAACAGGCTCAGTGTCTAGGGCCTGCCTGGGGAGGTGGTCTGTCTGAGTTGCACAAGTTGCAGAAACAAAACATACAGAGGCTGCCTGGTAGGACAGCGAAGGTTTGTGACCTCCAGGCTGGGGTACTCACAGGCTATACCCAGAGGAGTGCAGGCGAGTTGATCCTCCAATGAGGACAAGGTGCTGCTATAAGGCGGGTGGCAGTCAGATAGGTCACGGTAAACTAAAGGAGTCAAGTATACTTCATCCACGGAGTCCTCTGGAATTTCCTGCTCCTTTACTTCTGGCAGCTCCTGGCTGCGCCTGGAGTAAAGACGACAAAAGATAAACACCAGAGAGAACCAACACCACTGCGCCCAGCTGGTTTTATAGGGAGGCCCTCAGGAAGGCCCAGAGGAAGCAAAGTACAGTCCCCTCAGAGAGATACGACCATGCTTCCATGTCTGAAACAGGAGACAGTGAGTGACAGGCTCTCAGTGCACTGGGCAGGCAATGAGCTGGGGAGGAAGGAGATGGAGTGATCCCTGTGGGAAACTGCCAGTACACAATGCATTCGGCACTTTTGCATACATTTTGTTGAAATTAGCATCAGTAGCCAAATGAATACAGACTCTTGAGTCTTCCCAGACAGAGTTCCTATATCCTCAACATCTCTTGCTCTCAACATTGTAGCATGACAGAGTTATTTTCATTCACTTTCGTGCTGTCAAATACTTGCAAACATGGTAATGCCAAAGAGGCAGACATCAGATGTGCAGCTCAACTTCACTTTAAGCAAAAAGGACAGAAAAGGGGACTGAAAAAAATGTCTGTGATTGATCAGTTCAATAGAATCAACTGAATGCAGATTAGTAGAATTGAAAGGAATTAATAAGGAAGAAATACAAATACAGGTGTACAATGAAAAGAGTCAACCTTATCAATATGGCTATTTCATGGTTGGCTGAACAGGTGGAGCAGGTATATTCTGCACACTCTGACTTTCCCTGCATATGAGACTCCTCATATCAACACTGAATTAACTGTCCATGATTCCTCAGAGTTATTTGGGGCACGGTGGGTCTTGATCTTCTACCTCCTCTTGATCCTTTTCAATTTCTGCAAATAAAGTCAGACAGAGACAGACACATTAAGCAGGTTCTCCTACACACACAGACAATCCACTGTACAGTCCTAACATAGGAACATCAGCTTCCTCAGTGGGAGAACAGGACAATGTGAGAGAAATATTCCAGGAGGCCTGAGGTCCTGTCATGAGAGAGATGCCTTGGTTTTCTTCCCTGAGCAAGGGAATGAAATCTCCCTGTTCTGGTAGATCATTATCCCAACATCAACCGTCCTGATTTTGTGCAAATAGTTACACAATTTTTTTCACATCAATTCAAGGCAAACACCCCAACTGCTTTTTAGAAGGAAAACTACACTATTCAGCCTTCATTCATCAAATACCCACATTGTTCAAGGTTGCAAGGATTTTAGACACTGAAATTAGAATGAAGGAGAGAACATACAGACCCTGCAATCAAAATGAATCTTTGGTACTACAAAGAGACATTGTCTATTCGTGACATCTAGGAGTGACAAGGCCCAGTCTTGTTTCTAGAAACGTAACAAAAGCAAATGTACTGCTCACCTAAAACAGGTCAACATCAGAGACACAGACAATGAGACTATGTTCTTTGCAATGTGGGTAATATATTTACCAAAACATAGACAAAGATGCCACAGGCCTTGGGCAGGGGTAAATCTCATAGGACTTGGTTGGGGAAAGAAATTTGTAAGGAACACAATAGGTGGCAAGACGAATCTTATTCAGATTAAGAGGCCTGACAGATACCTGTTGGGCACGTGCTACGTACGTTGGTGTGAATTTGTCAATGTCGTGACGGTGGCCCAGGGTGACACAGGCCTGGTCTGAGATGAGGAGGAGAGCAGAGCTCACTGACCCACCCCATGTCTATGCTTCCAACTTGATTTTCAATTCTGATGCAAATCATCCTGTTTCTGTGAGTCCTGCTCACACTAATGACACGTCTCTGTCCAGCCAGGGGTGCAAGGAATTCGAACTCTACCTGGGATACCAATTGGAGATTTATCGTGTTCACAATGGAGTACTCACTGTCTACAAGAGCCAAGCTGACTTGCTTTTCTTCAAAACAGTACAAAGTGCTCCAATAAGGGTGGTAGGAGTGAGGTAGGTCAGAAAGGATGGAAGGAGTCAAGCAACATCCATCCAGTGACTCCTGGGGGACTTCATGCTTGTCCACCCTCAGCGGTCCCCTGCTGAGCCTGTAAGGTAGGAAGGAGTAAGGATTAATCCAAGGAGTTTCAGAGCCCTGCTGGCTTCACGTGAAGCAGGAGGGAGTGATGGTGGAAAACAAATGGGGCAGCCCATTAAAGAGTTCAATATTCTCCTCTTCTTGGTGGGTCACAGTGTGGTTGCCATGGGGTAGGTTGCAATACAGAGAGAGGGAAAGAGAGAAGAGAGAGAGAGAAGCAACAGGAACTCAGCAAAGTGGCCAGATCACGATTTTCTGAGGAAGGAGGTATAGTCGTGTATGTATGTATAGTCGCTCTGTATGGTATAGTCGTGACTTACTGAATATCATGTTCCATAATGGTGGCTTCATTACTTTCTTTTAAATGGTATTAAATTTTATGTGTAGTGACCAAGTAAACATAGCATTTGAGGCATAATAATGTTCCCAAAATCTCATGCCATCAAGTCCTTCTTCTCTCATTACTATGTGTGGTATAATAATAATTTTTTTCTACCTAATTTCCTTGCCTTGAAATGCTTAGCACTGTGTTAATGCAAAGCCAGCAGAAAGCAGATATGCATCTCAGGCTGGTTGAAAACATAAGAAGAGATAGCTGCTTTACGGAAATCTCTGGGACTGTTTAGTTGTTCAGAAGATCAACTGGTTTTATGTACTGAACCTGAGAAGTTAATGCGAAATGGCCAACGATGCAAGTTATCACAATGAAAATGTAAAACATGTTTAGAAAGGATCATTTCTGGTTGGATGAAGGGATTAATCTGGTATATTCAGGACTTTCTGGGTTTCTGTGGATATGAGTTCCAAAGGTATCACCCCTGAATTGAGAGCCCCTGAATTTCTTTAATTACCTGGGATCAACTGTTTCTTTTCCTTTCACCTCTTCAAGATTATTTTGCTTTTCTGCAAGTAAATTAAGAGAAGACCAGTCATATGAACTTGATCCCATTCAAACATGCACAACCTTGTGTCCAATCCTACCTAGGGGCATAAATAAACTCGGTGTGATAACAGGCTATTGTGAGAGAAACTTTCCAGGAGGCCTCAGGGTGAGCCTTGTGAGAAGTCACTAGGTTTGCTTTCCTGAGCCATGGAGCAAATCTCCCTGATATGACAGGTCATCATCACAGTCCCTTCTGTCCTGAGTCACAGCAAAATGTTAACCGTATCCTATTTACTAACAGATCCTGGAAATCTACTTAAATGCTTCCTAGCAGGTTACTGCAGTATTCAGTATGTTTCCATCTGATAACATGTTTTTGGTGTTTTTTGTAGAATGTACATTTAGAAGGATAGATTAAATCAAATGAATCTCTAACGCTACATGGAAACATAGGCCTTTAATGAGGCAGGGAGTTCCAGGGCCCAGCCTCCTTTCAGAAACATACAAAATCTAATAGTG